CTCCGTCGGTCTGGAGGAAGAGCGAAAGCCTGCTGCAGTTTCCTAGGGCATTTCTCATGTGCTGCTGCATGCAGTTTTTTTGTTGAATTTTGTCAGCGTCAAAGAATAATAACTATCTGAAAATTTTTTCTCTTTGTAAGACGGCTTGTTTCTAGCACGTACGTATATGGAGTTAGTCATTGACGGATAATTTTTTTTAAACCAAAAACAGAAGAAAATTAGTTCATTTGTTCCAATACCCGTCGGACTTGCTATATCCAGAATCGTATATGGTTGTGTTTTTTTTTTTTTTTTTGGGTGGAATCCCAAGGAGCCAACAAAATGTCTTACATTCAGCTCTAATGCAGCCATAGTAATGAACCCTCAATTTTGCATAAGACGAAATTAAGAAGAAAAAAAAATCATCCAAACTCATTAGAAGCACGTAGCTTCCAGTCGTTGCCTAGAAAGTGAAAAAGTTAGAATCAATCTAGACTCATAATAGTTACTCAAACTCGTTTTGGATTAATTTCACATCTTTAATTAGGAGTCAAGCTAGACACGATCGTGGCAAGACCTGATTATTAGGAACATCTTTATCCTAGCCTCAACAAACGCATTTTTTGACGTCTAATCTAAAGAAGTAATCACTGATCATTGTGTACACTTGGGGGCCGGTAAATTGATTCACCACGCAAATTATACACTTAAAAAAATCAAGAAGCGTCTCATTTTTTCTGCCCTTTTGTTTTTCTCTTATGCAGTACAAGTTAATCCTTTAAAACAGCTTGATCAGTTTTCTCTTATACTTGGTATTTATTTTGTTGTTATCAGTTTGGCAGAAGAAAGAAGCTGTTGTGTTAAGTAGCTAGGATGGTCCCTCCCTCGATGCATATAATTTTCTTGGTACGAGGTCCATCAATATATATATATATATATATATATATATATATATTTATGTGAGGCATATATATTTTCATGTCCAGTTCAGATCGAAGGCAAAAGCAACCATAGGACTATACATGTACACATGTCTTCCGGTTCTGGCTAGCAAGTAATAACACCGATAGTTGAGAAGGAGACAAAAGATGAGAGAGGCCTCAGAAGGTCGCATTCAAACTCCAGTCACCGGTGACATCTGAGGTCTCAAATATCCCAATCAAATTAAACATAAGTCGATGGTTTGGGGTTTAGGCCCTTCCTTAGGGGTGGGGTGGGGTGTGGGGGTGGGTAGAGAATAGACATATACGAAATGGAAAAGGACAGTGTCAAATTTGGATTTTGGACTAGACAATTTGACCAGCCCGGCCGTTATTTAAGATCTAGCTATAGATAATACTTTTTTTTTTTTCCCTTCATCTAGACAATAGCTGTTGGTATATAGTATACAGTACGACTTCTCTTTGGATCAGTAGTCTTCAGAACATGGTGGTGATGAAGTGGCATGATGGTGACGGGAGGCAAAAGGACTGGTTAGGTCCCAACTCCATCTCTTCAACTGAACTAAAAGTGATAACTGAACTCTTCACTCTTCAGTGCATGGTGACGAGTAATTGAGCGATTGAAGCTTCCCTTCCCTTCCCTTCCAGGCTCCAGCCTATGTCGTTAAGTAGTACTGCTGTTAAATATAAATAAAGGATGATAGATATTCATGGACATGGGCACGAACATATGTACTGAGAGCATTTTTGTGGTTAAAGATCTTGATGGAGTTCCATTCCAGATTTATGGAGACTAAACACATGGCCAAAGTACTGACAGATGTGTGGCTTATTTTAAGGATGTGAATTAACCGGCCCTTTCAAGCTCAGGAGAAGGAACAGAAAATGGATGGACTTGAAGAAATTAAGCAATACGCGGTTGAAATTTTGCATGGAGACGAACGATCGAGTTAAGCCATTAAAGACAGATTGAAGTCAAGAAGAAAGTAGTAAGTAGTATTCCATTCCTAGAAACGGTATTTTGGCGGCATAGACGAATTGAAGTGTGATTAACCAAAGCCAAACATACACTTAATTGCTGCTACCCACAATCCAACACCGCACGCAATATTGAATTTGATTAGGTGAGATAAATTAAATTGGCGGAAGTCATCCATTAACTCCCTCATCACTTTCTAAACCTACAGCTGCCAAATTCCAAGCTTATGTTTGACATTATTAACGGCGCAATTAGGAATTAGTAGTATTTAACTGTATGCGCGCCTAAGCACCTATTGATCCTTAGCCTGGGGATCAAAGTACAGCAATGCTTGGAATTCAACCTCTCCTTTATTCTACACCACATGAAGACAAATGTCTCCAAAAGGTTGTGAGGAACATCTATGAATCATATGACTTCTTTTCGAAGGAAATGGAAAACAGAAAAGAGAAGAGAGAAAAGAAAGAAAAACACTTTGGATTGAGACCGTGTGAATTTGATATATACAGGATTATTTAATAAGTTTTTAAAATAACACTCTTGCATATTTTTTGTGCTGGGATATATATGTAAAATAAAAAAAATGGTTGAAAAGATTACAAATTAATAAGAAAACGTGATAAGTTTTTATAATTAAGTCTCAATCTAAACAAACCAACCGTTGTGGAGAATCTAACCAGAAATATTTCAGAATAACTTAAACTTATTAGTATAAAATCTAGAATTAGTTAATTTGAAGAGCCCAAAAAAAAAAAAAAATTTTTTTTCCCCAGGTCTCGGAATCTTCAGCGTCCATGCAAAATAATTGCATGTTTAGCCAAGCGGCACATGCAAAATATAAGATTCTTTAGTAGTGGTAGTAAAATAAAATAAATGAATTGTGGCAGTGCAATTCCAAATGATCCTGCCAAGTTGTCATTGAAAACTGCTTTAATCCCTCCAGGGGGGGGGAAAAAAAAAAAAAAACTGCTTTAACCCAAGTTGATATTATTAATGCAAAATCGAATTAAATATGAGGACGAAAAAGTGGGGCCACAAAAATTGTACGGACGAGTAACGACGACGATCCCTATCATGTATAGGTCGCTTCCGCCGGGATCCAGGCCGGCGGGGTCCGTATTCGTATTAATCACCCTTGTAATAATTCTGATGACAATACGGCATCACTAAAATGCCATAATTACCCTTCTCTGTATCAGTCAATCACTCAAGCCGTTCCTCCCTTTCCCGCAAAGCCAAAGTTCAATTAATCCCAAGCGAGATGCCCTCCTTTGTTGCAGCAAGAAAATGGTCCCCTCGAAGTCACTGATGAACCCCCTAATTATGAACTTTTGAAAGTGATTTAACCATAACTTTTCTTTGCTAACGATTTTTTTTTTTTGGATGAAAGGAAGTGATGCAACCCTCCTTTGTTTGGATTATCATTTTTTGTCAAAAAATTTTCACGTTTTTTATAAGCATATTTTTTTATTATCTTTTTATTATATATATATATATATATTAAATTGTTATAATATAGTTTTTGTTTTTTAACAAAAACTCTAGAAAAAACAATCTAAACGGGCGGGCTGTTAAGAGAATAGTTTTCTAGATAAAAGGGGTCATTTCATATTTGGACAAAAAATCTGAGCGATCATTAAGCGACGAAATGGTCATGAGTGTGTTGATTAGTTAATTTAATGGTTGATTTGTAACGAAAATTATTTAATAATCAAAAGTCGAGGCGTGGAATACTTTAATGGTCATTAAGACTTTTTTACCCTTGGAGCTGTGAAAAGGGTTTGCATGTTCTTTAATAGCTAATAAAGGTCTAACTCGGTTGCCTCAAAGAGGGAAACAGCTCGAATGTCTCAGAAAAGAAACGAAAAGAAAGAATTTTTGACATTGAGGCTTAAAATTGGAAAAACTCATCAAATATCTCCACCATGTGTCAATTTACCGAGTACAAGAAGTTAATTCAAAGTCCCTTGCAGTAATTCCTCCAATGCATCTAGAAATTCATTGGCGTGGCAGATGGAAATGGCCGCAATATAGCACACTCATTGGAGATGCAGGCTGTTGACGTCATGTTGGTAGTGAAGAGAAAATTACTTGGAACCTTTTTCCTTCTCTATGAACCTCCTTTATATGGGTCGATCTTTTTATATTAAGCTCAGTGGATAGGTTTTGTAATTCACTGATTCTCTCTTATCATCTAGACTGGCTTCAATAATGAAAGGAGTAGCAGAAATCATGAGAGGCTATAGATAGAGCTAAATCTCGAACATGATACAATTCACTTGACAAAAGTAACCTAAAAAAACAAAATGCCAAGCATACATGTTACTCACTCACTCGAACTCGAAACTTCGGATTTGGCTTTAATTTACAACTAAAAGGACTTTTATAAGAATTGATTTATTTAGATGAACTTATCACCCGTTCTTCTTGTTTGGACTGTAATTTTCTGTAAAAAAAAAAAAAAAATCACGTTTTTTTGTGAACGTATCCGTCAATTAATCCTTTTTTTTTTAAAATTAGTCGTCCATATAAACTACCTACATAGGTCTGTGATAATTTTTTGTATCCCTGCAAAATAGTAGGAAAAAAACACTGTAGAATCGTAATTAAGAACCGGAGAATTGATCCTTTAAAAAGAAAATCAATAAAAATTAAATCAAAAGCAGGTGGTGCAATATCTTTTATAAGTCGATAAAAAATAATCGTCGGGGGAAGAGGGAATAAAATTCTGCTTTACATTACATTGGGCTGGGCAGGATAACCGCATGCTAGTAACCAAGCAAATATGCATAAACAATTCCGGAATTACAAAAAAAAAAAAAAAAAAAGGATAGAGACGTAAAGCAGCGTGTTTTCCGGTACAGAGCACGAGGGGGGCAAAAGCTGGTTGTCTGACACGTGGCGCTATTATTCACCACCGGATTCTCAGAGAATCATCCACCACCATTGATCTTTTTGAGGCCGATGATGATGCTGGATGCAGGAAGGGAGAAAGAAAGAAAGAGGGATTTAGTAGAAGCAGCTATAGTTAAGCTAAGCAAAGCAACCCAACCCGCACATACAAAAAAGAAGAGAAAGTAGTGAGAGAAGAACCAAAAAAGAAAAGAAAAAAAAAAAAAAGAGAAGAAAAGAAATGGTGGTAAAAAGCTAAAAAGTTCGTCAGTAGCAGCTAGCTTAGTAATGAGTGAGAAGCGGTATAAGTAGTAAGTATTAGCAAAAACCCGCAAGAGAAAAAAAAGGATCGAAGAAAAGAAACCATCATCTTCATCATCAGCATCATCAAAGAGATAGATTGATAGATGGAGATGGAGGGAAAGAGAACGAACAAAGGAATGCAAGTAACAAGAGTCCGTGGGTAAGACTTAAATTGGGAGTAGTTGCAGAGAGCGAGCAGCAGAAACAGAAGCAGAAGCAGAAGCAGCAGAAGTAGCAGCAGCAGAACAGTGACAGAGGAGGAAGAAAGAAAGAAGAAAGAGAAAGATGGAGAGAGCGACAGACAATACCAGTTTTAGTTTGCTTTTTGGGTGCGATGACGGCGTGGCAGAGCTGTAATTCTATGGCTTTTAATGCTCCCTCTCTCACAGCACAGCCATAGAATTGAAGGAAGGAGGCTCGATGGATTGATTAATCTCTCCCCCACGCCCCTTTTTATCTCTCTCTCTCTCTCCTCGCCCAAAAGTCTTCCTTTACTTTGTCTTCTGTCCAAGAAATTGAAAAGCTGCTGCAATAAAACCCCCAATAAACTCCCTTCCCCCCGTCCTCTGACCCTTCACTCCTTCCTTCACTTCTCCCTATTAGTACAACCACTTTCTGGCTTCGGTTTACTTTCATTTTGTTGCATAGAGGACGACTTGGGAGTTGCAGCAATAATTGTCAAAGAGCATTCATTTCAGAAAAACGCAAATTCATTCTCTGACCCCAAACAAAACCCCCACTTTAAACAAAATTTCAAAAATAGAAAAAGTTCAGGCGTACCCGTATCATTCTGGGGTCATTAATCACGCCACCATAGGCTTTCTGCTATGGATTGTCAGCCACGATTGAGGTCTGCGAGAGGAATAAAGGTGGCAAAATGGCTGGCTTTTTTTCGCTAGGTGGTGGTGGAAGTAGTAGAGGAGGAAGCAGCAGCAACCAAGAAAGCAGCAGTCATAACAATACCACCACCAACAACCAACAGCATCAGCCCACCGAAATCAACCCGGAGAATTGGTTCCTCTACAGAAGTGATGAATACAAGGGCTTCGAGATATGGCATCCCCAACCGCAGCACCAATACCACCAGCCGCACAATCAGCCAGAACACCATCATTTTCGCCACCACAATCCGGCTCTACAAGATTTTTATCCATCAGCCGGAGGAGGATTAGACTTTGGCCCCAGCAGCAGCCATCGCGGCGGAGGAGGTGGCCTAAACATCTCCTCGGATGAGCCTTCGAGATCGGCGTTTGTAATGATGAGGAGTAGTGGTGGGGGAATTAGCTGTCAGGACTGCGGAAATCAAGCTAAGAAAGATTGTGCACACATGAGATGTAGGACTTGTTGCAAGAGCCGCGGGTTTCAGTGCTCAACCCATGTCAAAAGCACTTGGGTTCCAGCTGCCAAAAGAAGGGAAAGGCAGCAGCAACTTGCTTCTTTGCAGCAGCAGCAACAGCAGCAGCAAGAACAAGCTCAAGAAAACCAAAACCAGCAGCAGCAACAATTGCAACTTCATCATGGTCATAGCCATAGAGGGGAGAATTCCAAAAGGCAGAGAGAGAATCGAGCTTCTTCTTCACTCGTCTGTACTCGCTTACCCTCCAATTCTTCAGGTAAAAATTAGTAGTGATGTCTTCCTACAACTACTTATACGTATGCCGCTCGATGCAAAGTTTCAAGTTGCTAAAGATTCTTGATATGGGAAATTTGTGTCAACAAAGAGAGAGAGAGAGAGAGAGAGAGAGAGAGAGAGATGTAATCTCTGGGTGTGCATAGATTTCACTGTCTTAACTGGTTCTTCTCTGGTGTTGAGTTGCATAAAAAAGGAAGAATAAAACAAGACATAACGATTGCGTGATGGATGAAGTCGACTTCTCCCACATGCTCCTCTTTCTCTTGCTTTCTCCATAGGAAAAACCATCCATCATCACAGCTTTTCCTTTTCCTTTTCCTTTCCGAAACACTGCAACTACTGTTTCTTGGTCTCTCTGACAAAAGATTGACTAAGAAAACGCTATTCCTCCTCTCTCTCTCTCCCACCTTGTTTTTGTTGGTTACAGTGAAGGAAGGAAGGAATGCGTCCCTCCCTCCATCCCTCCCACTCCCCCTCCCCTCTAAACAGAATATACATTTGGCGCTTGGATTCATGTGGTAACATGAAATATTTACCAGTACTGGAAAACTTATTATTACAGTTTTTGGTGATGTTTCGTGTGGCTTTAGGGTTCGAAGTGGGACATTTTCCGGCAGAAGTAAGCACTTCGGCGGTTTTTCGGTGCGTACGAGTGAGCTCCATTGATGAAAATGAGGATCAGTTCGCGTATCAGACGGCTGTAAACGTTGGAGGACATGTTTTCAAGGGAATTTTGTATGATCAAGGCCTCGAGAGTCAGTACATGACTACTGAGAGTTCGTCTGGTGGCGGAAGCGGCAGCACTACGGGAGTACAACAGCTTAATCTCATTACTGGTACAGCTGCCACTGCAACCTCCACCGGTACGACTACCGTCAGTGGTGGAGGAGGAGGAGGAGGAGGAGGAGGAGCTGCGGGTTCGCCATTTCTGGACCCGTCAATGTATCCAGCTCCACTGAATTCTTACATGGCTGGTACGCAATTCTTCCCACCTCCAAGGTCCTGAAATGAAACAACAAGAGGAAAATTCCATACATTCTCTCTCTCTCACACACTCTCTCTCTAATCAACCTTCTTCTTGACTTTGTGTACTATTTCCTCGTGGTACAGTTGTAGTAGTAATATTTTTACTGTTTGTAGTAGAGAAGAACATTTGACACGCATTGCGCTTATTAAAACTGCTAATTACACAAGGAAAATAGGAGAGGAGGATCGACAAAGAAGAGAAAACGAGGGGCTTTTGATGTTTTTGTTTTTTATTTCAAATTTCGATGCAAGGTTGAAGAATTGCTCTCTCTTTGATATATATATATATATATATATATATATATATCTATACCTATATCTATATATGACAGAGTTGATATTGCGTACATAATAATGATCATGGGCTGCTGCTTGTTTCTAGTGTATGATGCTTGTATTTGTGGGAACTATTTTTTTTTTTTTCTTGGTTGAATTTCGTTAGTATTTCTGGTCAGTTTGGACTTCTAAGCTTGCTTTTTCCTCCCCGTTACGCGTGAGTCTGTTTCTTTGCTTTGAATTTTCTCGACTTAAAACGGCTTGCTTGCTTCCTGGATTGGACAACCTGCATTAGAGACATCTTTTCTTCTTTTTCAATGTGGGAGTCCAGCCATGCAGGAATATTCACGTTTTCAAAGATACATCCAGTCTCTTTTCTTTTCTCTGTCTCTCTCTTCTCTCTCTCTCTCTCGGGGTACAAAATTTTTTTTTTCCCTTTTGTTATTTTATGTCCTCCTATCACTAGATATTAATTTGGCTAAATCTGAACACAAGGATGTGACTTGCATGAAAGGAAGAGGAATCGCTTCTTTCCATCTGTTAACCTTTTGATGCACCACCTGAAAATGCATTCATGATATTAATGTGCAAAAATCCATAGTAGTGGTGTTGCTTAAATGATAAAATCCATAGTAGTGCTACTTACTGGTGCATGCATTTTTAGTTTTCGTGTGCTAATGAAAACAGTAGTGTAAGATGAAAGAGTTTCTCTCTCTTGCCAACTTAATGCATGTTACTCTATGATATGTTTGACGCATCCAAGACTTCTACCCTACTAGGCCTTCTTCATTTTCATCGCAGCGGTGACTTTGTTTTTTTTTTTTTTTTTTTTTTTTTGTATTTTTATTCTTCTCAGTTGATTAGAACCTTTTTGTCACGTAGTGATTCCATGGACCTTATTTGACATTTAATGACGCATGTTATAAGGACAAATATGACACAATTTTGATAAGCCTCTATTCCTTTGCAAAGATATTTGTACATGGAGTACTCCACTTTGATGTCTACTGTTAAAGCATATTTCTAAAACTTAAATTACCCTTTCCAAAATGGGACTCTTTTAAGGCAAATCATTTTGCCTTGTGAATTACTGTGTGTAATTGAAGAGAGAAATTCTATCCTTGGAGTCTGACTCTTACTATCTATAATAGAAAAGATAGAGGTGTATCTAATGCCTTTAGTAAGATTATTTAATTAATTATTAGGGCTATATCAAACGTTAAAGTTGGTTGGTGCAAAAACCAACTCCTCTAGGTAAGAAATTCTAATATGCTGCCTGTCCACCCAAGAGTGACTAAGATCAGTTTACCCAAGAGTGACTAAGATCAGTTTAAGGGGTGTAGGATGTCACCAATCCCTAAACCCAAGTGGTGGTAAGAAAACTCAGATGTTTCAATCTCTTAGGAGGACTGAGGGTGCTAAAAGACTAGACCCCAATTAGAACACTTTTGAGAGGTAGGGAAAGCTATCATTGATGACAACTGTGGAGGCCTTCAGACACCGACAACCTGTTTGAGTGAAATGACGAAAAGAAATTATTTAAAGCACGCTCAGTTAGACTTGAGGTTCATATGAAGATGAGAATAAAGGATCTACAACCTTGCTGCTGCCCTCTTTGGATTGATCATGGGTTCAGACACAAGTTACATGACATGACTGGGATATTTGTAGCAATTCCATATTTCTGATCATTCTAGAACAAGATAAGCTTCTTGTGTGCCATACTCTTCTGTAGGAGATTGTACAGACCTTGGTTATTGCACACTCGAGCTGTTAAGTCTTTACGCTTTGAACAGTGCTACCTCTAGACCTCTTCATTTATACCCACGTTGAGGATGTCTGGTTTAGTAACAGCATTCTCTTCATGTGGAGATCGATCCCATGATTTGACTTGCATGATGCATCATTTAGCAAACTGGAATTAGGCATTTTGGCTAAGTGGGTATTATTTTTGAAGATTGTTATAGTAGTTAAACCTTTGTAATTTGCTTGGTGGCGATTTAAATTGATGACTAATGAATGATAAAGTGTTTCCTCTCTCTCCTCCTCTTGTTGTAATGGAGTGAAAGCAAATTCCAGGTAGTGAATAAATTTTATCCTATGACAAGACTAACAGAGAAAGATCTACTAACAAGTAAATAGGACTAATTTTGCAGGCCCCAGATATATAATAGTTTAGCAAGATACTCTGAGTAGTTCACTAGAAATATATCAAATGAAGTGAATACTAGGTCACGTTACAAGCCCTATATAATAGTCTTAGAAGTGAAACTTGTAAGATATGGACGTAATTAATAACTTCTTATTGGCAGGTATGCCATGCATGGTGCAATCTGTGAACTGAACGTTAGAAACCAAAGTCTGTAAATAGCACTTGATCACAAGACCAGAAGTTGACTAGTTATTGCTCCTGAAATTGAGATAAATTATCAACTTAGCGTTGGATATTTTGCAAACCAAAGAAAATTTGAGGAGCCACAAATTTGAATACTTTCACTCTTACTCCTGGTATCTTATTGAGCTCTACACGTAGAAGAATGTTTTGGATGGATTAAAGTTATGATGGTATGAAATACCAGTTCAGGCTTTGAAGGTGTCAAGAAGTTTGTTTTGGATGAATTAAGAGTTGGGCATTCTTACCTGGTGTATGCAAAGTGTCTTGTGCTCATACTCTTTGCTCTTGAGTCGGGTAACATGATACGATAATGTAGCCAGTTCAGTTATTCTCCGCTAGCATGATGCATGCATATATATATATATACATGCAGCCCGTACTAATGCATTTTGTTGATAAGAAAAAAGATTTTCTCCATCTTCGCGGGTAGTATTCTGTAGGATGCTTTTAATGTTTCTGTTGAAAGCATTTTTCTCCTTTCCCGCCTTGCAAGAATCAAGATATTTATGGTTTCCTACTTTTGCAATCCAGAAAATCAAGCAAATATATGGTGTTGTAATAATAGTTTTTAATGGTAAAAAGGATATTTTTGCCCCAAAAAGATATAAATATCGCCGAGATTTGCATGCTATGCTAGAAGAAGCCAGGATTTAAATGTGGCACTGCCACAGGCGCGCGGTGCTTTGATGTTCACAGCATATATATATCATCCCACCCACGCAAGGACAAATTTTCATGGTGAAATGATCTCTAGTTTTGCTTATTCGACAGAGACGGCCTGTGTCACTGCTTTAATCAAGTGCTTCTCCTTATTTGGCTTTAGATTTTGCTGCTCTGGTTTTTCTGGCCTTTCATAAATGGCAAAGGCTGCCTTTGCATTAGAGCAGTAGAGGAGTAATTATTCTCATCCCCACGCAATTATCCATGCGGGATGGGGTAATAATGTTGGAATTGCATTGAGGTCATCCTCCTCCTCCTCCTATGATAAAAAGCGTGTTTCCTTTTTCTAACTTTTCGTTTCCTATTTGGTTCTTGAAATCGTCATTTGACATTTCTCGTTATCCCATTGCAATTTGGAAAATCCCATCGTAGTCTCTCTTGTTCCCTTCGGAACAACTCTACTAGTGTTGTTATATGCATTTGGCCTAAGAGTGAAGAAATTTATTAAGTGTTAGTAGTTCTGGTAGCAGCAGCAGCAGCAGTGGAACTCGTTGAAGAAAAACTCTCAGGGCTGGGGATCCCTTGTAGCCATTTTATTGTCAGCATTCGCTTTTTATGGAACAAGCAGCCGAAAGATGATAATCCCCTCCGCCCCCCACAAAGCCATTTTTACCCTTTCCCAATGCTGACACTGTCCAATTCAACTTTACCAAAAATGAATGATGCGATGCGAGAGAGAGGGAGTCAGTCGCAAATTTTCATGCCAACAAATTTGGATTCCGCTTTTCTCGAATTCAAGATTTCCTCCTCCTCCCCCTCCTCCTCGAGCAACAAAAAGTGGGATATCCGTACTGCTCCTGAGGGGAAGTCACGAAATGGATCTGTCCCGTAATCAGTAGTAATTCATTTTCTCGAGAAATTATACGCATCCAACAATTGAGCGAATTTCCTCTTCTTTTTGCCTTTTCAACTTCAACTCCTCTTGCTAAACGGAGCAGCTCCAAACATATTATAATAATGCATACCTCGCTTTCGAGTACTGATTAATGTGCTTCAACCAAAAAAAAAAAAAAAAGTATGAACTAATCTTATATATGTATATATACACACATTATCATCACTGTTGCATACGATACGATGCGCAACACATCATCATGTTTACCAAAAAGTTTGTATTTGGGCCTCGGTTGGGTAACAACACTAGTTGAACGTTAATTGATGATGCCGGAGGAGAATTCAACAATTATTGGTTGATGCAGAATAATATATTCATTGTTGGAGTAACTATAACGGAAGAAGAAGGCATAATTAATTGAGTGATAGAGATGAGAGATCGGGTTGGGAGTGGCTGGACAGGCAGACGGACGGAGAGACAGGAGGGCATGGATGGATGTGGTCACGTCAAAGTGTATATTCTTTGCGTCAGCCACAGTGGGATTGACGGACCTTTCTCGATGGAATGAAGGCTGATATGAGAGTACAAAGCTACCCTTTGACACATTGCCCTTCCTCTGCTCTGCCATGCTATGCTATTATTAATTTATTATTTGTAACCCATTCTTCGTGTATTCTTGAATTGCAGCCAGAGCCAGCCAGGCAGCAAGCAGATAAAACAAGCGACCTGTGGTTTATTCACTTTATTAGGGTTTCGTACGAATTTCAGGGTTGCAAGTCTTTTCGCTTCAGGACTCTTTTGGTGCAAATGGCCTGAGTACGGAACCATAATTAATTGTTTTGCTTTTTAATTCAAGTGTCATACATATACACAACAAGAAGACATAACGACCGCTTGAGAAGAAAAATGACTGCTCTCACTTGCGACGGACGGACGGACCAGCTTCGCCATTTCAGCTTTTCAACTAG